AGAAAAGAAAAGAAAAGAAAAGAAAAGAAAAGAAAAGAAAAGAAAAGAAAAGAAAAGAAAAACGCCCAACTTCCCCAAACCAAAGCAGAAAATACTGTTTTGTGGTACGATCTTTCAGTCTTTGTCTTTCTCCACAAACCTCAGTGTAATGTCTCAGTGAGTTTTTCACTGCCTATACACCCTCTGTTGCCCCTGAAACAGGGAGGGCATCAGACTTTTCCTTCCTTGATCCGTTTCAAGCACAGGTATTTCCTAGTGTGTCTATGCAATTGAACAGAAAACACCTGAGAGCCTCCTGACTCCTGTACAAGACATCAGCCCACCAGTTTTAGCTTCAGAAGGAACACCAAAGGAATAATTCGTTATGTCCCCATTCCAAAACACGCTGGAGGGGTATTTTAAGTTTCCATATAATTTCTTTTTACGTTTTCATGTAGTTTTCTACGGCTCCATCCCTTCCCTCCACCGCCGCCACCAGCTCCGCCGCCTCTGGAGAGGGCCATGCACTTCTCCCGATGCCCAGGAGATGGTGCTGTGGATTTTGGATCGGGAGCGCAGCGACCGGGGCTGGGGCTGGGACCGGGGCTGGGGCCGGGGCTGGGGCCGGGACGTCCCCGCAGAGCCCGAAGGGGACCCCGCGGAAACCCGGAGAGTCTCCGCGGGGATCCTCAGGTGCCCTTGAGCTCTCCGCATTCCTCCAGAATTTCCTTTACATCTTTAGCGGTCTCCCCAGAGGCCAGGCAAGGGTATCAGGGTGGCGTTGCTCACCCCAAAAAGCCTTAACTCCGCTGAGCTGGGGGCCAAGTTCATCGAAGCCGTTTTTGTCCTCCCGCTGAGGGTCAGGAATGGAGGCAGTGCTCACCTCTGTTTTACAACCCCTCGTCTCACTGAAGCCCCCAAGCCCGGCTGCACACACGCACCCGCCTGGCACCGGGGAGCAGGATGTCCCGGSCATGGGACTGTCATCCCTTCTCGTCCCCTACAGACCTCCTCCCGCGGCCCCGAGCCCCCGGCGGGCTGCCGGGCCCCTGCCTGCTGCCAGGAACAGCTCCCAGGCTTGGAGYCCACCGGCCTCCTGGAGCTCAGACACTCTGAGGATGTTTGCACCAGGAGCGGATGCAGTGGGGAGGGTAATTTTATTTATTTTTACTGGGCTTTTTTTTCTACACCTTGAACTTAAATAAAGTTTTCCTCGCAGAGAAGACAACACAGCTGCAGTTGCGGAGAATGAAAGTGCTCTCCGAAGCTTGACTTAGTGCTGGAAAAGCCGGGCAGAGACTGCATGGGGGGCTGCCCCTGCTGCACTYGGCTCTTGGCTCTGATCTCCCCCAGGCTTGGCGTGTCAGAGGCAGGAGAGACTTRGGGCTGAGCCGCTGGAAGCAAGACCGGGAAGTTGCGGAAAATCCCAAACCCTCCTCTTGCTGCGGGGCCGTCCTGCTGCAGCAGGCACAAGCCGCTTCTCTGCTCAGAGCAGGCAGGGAGAGGCTAATTTCACCTGACTAAAATCTGGCTGCGTTCAGGTCTTGGGCGTCTGAGGGGAAAATTTGGAAAATGTCTTTCATCACGGAAAGTTTTCTGCAAACCTAACCCTGGGTAGAGGAAAAAGAGAGGTTTTTACTTCTCTCACAGRTGGGGAGCAGAGCGAAATAAGTCTCGAGCAGATCTTGCTAAAGACGCCCCAGAAAATCAGCAATCGCCAAGCTCTCSGATCAYATCTGTATCCCGGGACCTTCCAGCRTCCTTGCCCCGTGTCCCTGCCTCCCGCCCCGCCCGGGACGGCCCGTGCCCGGCCGCTCTCAGCGGAGCCTGGCGGATGCTCCGCGGCGGCCGAAGCAGCCCTTCTGCAGTTCGAATCCGGGCTGCTCATTTCCCGAAATAATGACCCTAGTGTGGAGGAGCTGGCGGCAGAGGGCTGCGGTACAATTAAGCCAGGTAACGAGACGCTGGGCAGATGTGTTTTCATTGCGCTGTAAGATAAACGCAGTGTTAAATGCCTGACAACTTCCCAGAAGCAATCAGCAAGAGTTTATGAGTGCATAAACCTCAAAGACCATTCCTCGGTATTTTTATAAGCGCCGCATTTAAAGCTTCTATAAATTCTTCTGCTCGCTTCCAAACTAAAGTTCCCGTAGACTATTAAACAGCCACTTCTTCGTGAGGTGGGGAGGGACAGATCACAACAGGAGGGTCCGGGAAAGGCGAGAGTGGTTCTCTTTTAGTCTCGTCTGCTTTGCTCTCCTAACTCCCTCCCACACCTCCCACAAGGTAAAGTTTGTAAGAAAGTTGTAAGAAAGTTGGCATCTTCAGAGCACGACGAGTCACAGGTGAGCGCATCGGCAAGATGAAGGGTTACATTCACGTCTCAAAAACAGAGGACAGATCCAGAAAGAACGGAAAGGAGGGAGAGAGATTAGAGGAAAAGAGAGGTGGTTGAAAAATCGTGCTGAAGCAGGTACAAGCATACGAACAGACCCGGGGCAGATCATGCAGACTGACCGGTGGATACGGAAGAGCAGAAAAACCTTAGACGGAGAGATAGATTTCCGACGCAGAGGGCAAACCTGAGCTAACGCAGCCGAGGACGAAAGAAGGCTGACGCGGAGGTGGCCGCCGTGCCCCCGTCCCCCCGGCCCGACGGCGCGGCCAGCAGCACCTCTCGCCCTTCGGGRCAACCGCGGAGGCCGCAGCCCGGGGACAACGGGCACCCCCGCCTGCGGAGAGTGTAGGTCGCTCCCAAAGTTACAAAAAAAAAAAAAACACCAAGGGAAATAGTGCTAGTGAACCCACAGATCAGCGGGAGAGATCAAGCCGAAGCCCTCTGTCTTCGAAGAAATAAGATGAGGGGAATGAAATGTTCCCACTAGCCATCAAATTGTAATAGCAGTATCCGTCATCCTTAAGTGACCACAGGAGTTTTACAAGTTGGATATTAAACAGATTAAATAATAATAATTTTTAAAACCCAACCCCCTGTCGCGAGTATAAAGCCCTTTGTTTATGATTCCGGGGAAAATGAAGTTGCTAATTGAAAAACAATAAACCTAAAATGCCTTTGGATTAATAATGATMGAGGTTAACGGTGACATCCATCCCTTGGAAAGGGGGAGGGGAGCGAGGCGCTCGGTGACTGTGCGCTTGGACGGCGACCAGGGACAAGCGCAGCAGCCAAATGGGGCTGGGGGGCGGGGGGTGAGACCCTCCCTCTTCGGAGGGCTCGGCTTGTATGTTCGCCTCTGATCCGGAGACACGAGGTGAGGAAGGTCTGTATTGTAGTCATGTCCTCGCTGGATGAAATCTCAGTCAATTACTCTGAAATCTGCAGCTTGGCTTCTTTTCATTCTTTCCAGGTGAAAATTCAAACGTTTTCTGTTGTCGCCTGGTCCTTTCTTTCCTGAAACAAGGCACCCAACTGTTCTGATATTACCATTCAAAAACGGGTTCTGTGGCAAACCTCATTTGTGAATCTATTACAGAGATTAATAGATTATTTCTCCTTTTTCAACTAATTCTCAGTGGGGAAATTTAACCATATGGTAAGGAGAGAATTAGAATTTCATCACATTAGAGCAAAATGTAATGAAAAGAGTCCAACACCTGGGGCCAACTCCGAAAGACACAATTAAAAGGTTTTTAATGAAACCAGAGAAACCAAAAAATTTCATAGCCTTCAGTAATCCTGCCACATAAGAATGATTTGGAAGTGTTGGGAAATATTGTTTTTACTGATGTCATAAGAATGAAAACCTGCCACTAAATACTGAGTGCTAACAGAAAGGCAAGAGCGAGCTGCTCGCCTAGATCATCAGAGTAGTGGGACAAAATTCAGACCGACCCTCGGGTTTCCACTCCAGCTTTTGGAAGAGTGCAGAGGAGAGTGTGCCCGGCTCCGAGGAGAAGCYCCGGGAGAGGAGTAGGGGGTCGGGGTAACCGGATGGCTGAGGCCGCCTCGCCCTGACACCGGCGACGGCATCCCGGCGTTGGGGAGAAGAGCGGGGGTGCTCCCGCCGAGTCGGGCTCGCTGGAGGGAGGCAGGAGGATACGGAGCTGCAAGGAGTTGGTCACTCAAAATAAAAAATAAATTTAAAAAAGTTTGGYGTGTTCTGCCCTTTCTCTTCCCGCCGTCTCTCCTCCCCAGATCGGTTCATTTTCAAGGTAACTGATGGGGCTTTATGTTTTTTATAGGGACACGGGGGATAATCACTCGCAAGCAGCAATCTGCTACTTGAAAAGGGATAAGGGAAGGAGGAGGGGAACCTCCCCGTAGTTTGGTCTCCGTTTGTTGGAGGGGGGTGGGGAGAGGGAGGACTGGGGACCACCCGCCTCCCAAGGAAGCAAGGTGGACTTTGGCGGTGGGCAGAAGTGGGCACGGAGGCTGGGGCTGCTACGGGGGGTTTTAATTTTTTTTTCTTTCCCAGGAAACGCTTTTCGGGAAGACGGGTGGGGGTGGGAGGGAGCTATAAGTTAATGTAAATGCAGGGGGTGGGTGGGCTGGGGGGAGAGGGTGTCACTCCTGACTCCACGGCTAAGTTAGCAGAAGTCTGCTGGCAGCACTCGGGAGGAGAAGTGTTGAAGTGGGCTTTTCTGCAGTGCAGGGCTGTAATTTGCTGAAGGAGGCAAAGAACATCCTTCGATCTAAGTAGGGCTTTTAGTGTGCTCATTGATGAGTGAAAGTCGCCACACATGTCAAGCTAAAGGCAGTTGTTGGGTTACTAACAGGACACAACGTCTTGCAAACATATGCGTTAAGCTGTGTATACAGATGGCAGGGAGAATAATGGAGCAGGCGCCTCTTATAAAGCTCTAGCTGCTGCCTGTCTTCAGACCTGGGAAAAGAAACTATTCAGACTCAGGGCCAGATAGCGCCTGGGATTGTTTGTTACCGTTTTAATCCTATTAATTAAAACGTTAACCTGATTGGGTAGAAAGCTCTGTCCCAACAGGCGAGTCTTCTTCATAATAACCTACTCTCAGAGATAATGATGTAAAAGACTCCCCCGTCTGCGGCGGCTGCTGGTTGATGGGTCCGGAAATCTCTTGAAGGTGAATCCAAGCAAGATAAACGGTGGAAGCGGCTCCACTGGCAGCGCACAATGCCCCAGCGCGGCGCCTGCTGAGGGCGAGCCGGAGCCGCAGCCGGAGCCACAGCCACAGCCCGAGCCACAGCCGCTGCCGGAGCCGCAGCCCGAGCCGGAGCCGCCGCCCGAGCCGAAGCCACAGCCGGAGCCGCCGGAGCCACAGTCCGAGCCGCCGCCGGAGCCGGAGAAGGGACAGCCGCGGCGCCGGGCACGGCGCAGCCCCGGCGGGAGCCGGGAAACGATTTCTGCCAGCGGGACGCCGGGGAGCCGCCCGCCGCGGCGCGGAGCCTTGGAGGAGCGGGCCGGGAGCTGAGGGGGGCGGAGGAGGCGGAGGCGAGCGGGGCGCCGATGGAGCGGGCGCTGGGGCTGCCCGCAGAAGAGGACCTCTTCCACAAGAGCCTCGCCGCCTCGGCCAAGCGCATGGAGTCCGCCTTCCGCTCGCCCCCGGGGCTCGACCTCTCCCACCCCCGCGACCGCCAGCCCTCGCCGCTCGCCTGCTACGAGGCGTCGGAGCCCGAGGCGCTGCTGCAGCCCGGCGTCGGCGGCGACCCCCTGGCGCTGCCGCCGGGCTCCGTCTGCGTCAAGTACGGCGAGAGCGCCAGCCGCAGCTCGGTGGCCGAGAGCAGCGGCGGCGAGCAGAGCCCCGACGACGACAGCGACGGCCGCTGCGAGCTGGTGCTGCGCGGCGCCGGGGGGGACCCGCGCGTCGCCTCGCCGGCGGCGGGCGGCGGCGGAGGGGGGGGCGGGGGGCTGAAGGCGGCCGAGGGCAGCTGCTCCAACAGCCACGGGCACGGCGGCAGCAAGAAGTCCAAGGAGCAGAAGGCGCTGCGGCTCAACATCAACGCGCGGGAGCGGCGGCGGATGCACGACCTGAACGATGCTCTGGACGGGCTGCGCTCCGTCATCCCCTACGCGCACAGCCCCTCGGTGCGGAAACTCTCCAAAATCGCCACGCTGCTCCTGGCCAAGAACTACATCCTCATGCAGGCGCAGGCCCTGGAGGAGATGCGGCGCCTGGTGGCTTATCTCAACCAGGGCCAGGCCATCTCGGCCGCCTCCCTGCCCAGCTCCGCCGCAGCGGCGGCGGCAGCGGCGGCGGCGCTGCACCCCGCCCTCGGTGCCTACGAGCAGGCGGCCGGTTACCCCTTCAGCGCCGGGCTGCCCCCCGCCACCTCCTGCCCGGAGAAATGTGCCATCTTCAACAGCGTCTCCTCCAGCCTCTGCAAACAGTGCACGGAGAAGCCTTAAGCTCCGCCGCCCTGGCCGCCCCCCGCCGCCGCCGCGGCCCCGGGGAGCGGCGACAGCCGGCGGTGCGGTCCCGGGCCGGGGGGCGCGGAGGCGGCGGAGGGACTGACCGCTGTCCGGCCCCCTCCGCCCTCCACCCGGACTCGCCTCGCCTCGCACTTCTTCTCGGGTGCCGCCGAGACGGGACCGCGACGGGAGCCAGCGTGCGTGCGGCGGCGGGGAGGGGGAGAGGGGCCGGGGGTGCCGCGGGGAGGAAGGAAGGCCCGGCCCGGGGGGCGCCGGGGGGGCTCGCTCCGCGTCCGGACAAAGGAGAGGCCGGGAACTAGCAGGCCGGGCTGGGAACCGGGGCTATCGCCGGGGACAAATCAGAGAGGGCACTTGAACATAGATTCTTTTTTTTTTTTTTAATTAATTATTATTAGCAGTATTATTATTACTATTATTATTATTATTATTATTCTGAGCCAGGAAACAAACAAACTTGAAATGTAAACTTATTATTTAAGTGACTCGCAGAAACAAAGAGACTGAACCGTTGCTATGGAAGACTTTGTATTTTTTACCGTCTCTAAACTTTGATCCTGTGAAAATGCGCAAAGTTTGGTGAGAGTGATTTAAAAAAAATCGAGAGAGTTAAAAAAAAAGACAAAAAATAACTGATCAAAACCCCTACTCCGTGTGGCTGAAAGTATCGCATTTTAAAAGAAATATTTATGTGCACCTTGTTTTTTTCCACTTTGCAACGATGTATAAACAAGACATGCTATTTATTTGTTATTCTTTAAAATGACCCTTCCACGCCAACAATATTTATCATGTATTAAGGTMATGGGTCTTATGTGCAGTTACTTTAAATGCTTCTAAAATTCTGTTTATGGATTAACTTAAACTGTGTGCCAAGTGTTTAAAAACATTTATTTGCCAACAACATATAACCAGAAATGTTGATGTATCCGAGCTGCTTAGGTTTATGAAAGGTCATCTGGATTTTAAGTTGCATCATCCCTGTATTTAAATTGAGCTTTAATAAATTGCTTCAGTCCAAAAATTACAGGAAAAGTGTATTCTTAATTGCTCAACCAACTGATTTTTGAAAGGGAATTCTTTGCATTATAACAGGTAATAGCTATTTACTTTTACAAGGCATCAGAGCAATAGCTGCTACAAGAACACTTGCCAAGCCAGTGTTTTCCCAGGCGCTGTGTTTTCAAAGGTATAATTTAAATCGCTTTTAATGTGTATGTAAATTATTCTGACTGTGGAKGATTATTTAAGTTGAAATACTTTAAAATACTTTAGGCTGATTTACAGAACGCGTGGAATTCTTCTCTTTTCCTTTTTCGGGGGATATGGGAGGGTGGGCTTTTGGTTTGTGGTTTTGTTTTGTTTGGTGGTTTTTTGTTTTTTTTTTTTTTTTTTTTTTTTTTTTTTTTTTTTTTTTTTTTTTTTTAAAGAAAAATGAGAGATGAAAAGCAAGAAGTAGCTATTTACCCAAAGTGAGCTTTCAGTTTGAGTTTGCATGGCTGGGTGGCTGTCTCTCTGCCATTTGTAAATCAAGACTTTTTTTTTCAATTTTCTTTTTTTTTTCTTTTCAAAAACGAGTCCTGCTCTTTTCCACTACTTGCAGATAATACAAATTCGGACTGTCAGGTTGGATGGCAAAATAGGAGCCATGATGGATCTGTTGGCAGGTCACGGATGTGTAAAGAGTGATATATATTAAATAGGTCAATCAGATTATGACAGCAATGTACGATCGTTTGTATGTGTATCTATGTCKGAAAGAATCTTTATTAAAATATTTTGAACAAACGCTTGTATTACGCTGTRCTTTGTTAAGCATATCCAGATTTAAAGAGGTGGATGGCGGGGGAGGGGGGTGCAGTTTATTTTCTTTTGCCTTGCTCTGAGTGCGCCCCAGTACCCGCCTCAACACCCCACTCCCGGCTCCGGGTGTCCCAGGCAGGGAGGCGAGAAGTTCCTCCTGCGCTGTTTTTCTCCCGCGCCCGTGGCAGGCGGACCCCGGCGCTGCGGGGCACCCGTGGGACAGCGCCAGGCCCGTCCCGCCCCGAGCAGTGGGGCTGGATGCGCCCCGGGGTACGCTGCAGGACCGCCCCCCCGCCTCCTCCCTAGCCCCCGGGTTTTGGAGCCGCCTCTCCCCTCGTAGACCCTCGGCCCTGCCCCAAACCCGAGGGCAGGGGAGCGGGCAGCTCCCCCCTGYCCGGCGCTGCTCCCTGGCCGGGGGTCCCGGCCCYGCGGCTCCCCCTCCCCTCGGGCGGCGCGGGCCGGCGCCGGGTGTCCGCAGAGCCGCCTCTCCCAACGGCAGCACCACAGGCGGGGGAAGGGGATAAATATTTTCTGCTCCACTTCCCATCAAAAAAGATTAATCAGAACCTGTAACTTTTCAGGAAACATAACTGTAAAGTGCCACGGAGCTGTGGGAAGGCAGCCCAGAGAGGGTGGGCAGATCAGCCCCCAGGCGCAAGGAGAAGCGTCTCTCAGCATTTACTAGACAAAGGCTGGGTGCGTCTAATTATGATTATTAAAACAATTTCCATGACGATGTCTAATATTATGTTAATTTGAAAACAACTGTGTATGAAAACTGTCGACTATAATACCTAAATTCATTTAATGAAACACATCGTTAAGGCAATTAAACCTCCTGGATGTGATTAAGGAACATAATTACGACACTGTTCTGCGCCATAATTGGGTGTCTTTAATCAAGGGGTAAAGTGATCAGCAACACAGCCATTAGTTTGTATTGTTCTGTCTCTGCTGTCCATCATTCTGATTAGGAATTAACCACCGCCACCAGCTTGGCGTGGTGCGTGCCTGTGTGTGTGTGTGTGCGTGTGTGTGTCTCTGTGAGTGTGTGTTCGTGCATATAACATCGCAGGACACATTTGCTGCAATATTTACCGCTTAATGTCTCTGGCTACCGAGCGGGCTTCCTTCCCGGAGAGGCTCCCTCGGAAGGCGCGGGCGCYGCTCGGCTTTGCCCGGCCGTGGGGTGGGGGAAGACAAGCCAGGTCCCAGCAAACTCCTGGATCTGCCGGGACCTAGGGTGGGGGGAAGGCAAGGGGCTGGGGGAGGCCCACGCCCTTCCTCCGGGCTCCCGTGGGCCGGGTCCGGAGCGTGTGGGCCGGGCCTGGAATGSTCCCCGCCGGCTCTGGGGAGCGAGGGCGGCCGCTGCCGTCTATGGCACATGGAGCGGTTTCTCAGTTCACCGCTCTCTCGCCGGCCTCTGCTTCGGAGCGGCGGGACAGCGGAATGAAAATCTTTGTCATCCCTGGCTACTGCTGCCGCCCGACTTTAGACTTTCTTGCTTCCTCTTCGATTGTTTCGGAAGGGGGCGAGGGGTCCGTGCCGGGGAGGGGTGCTCCCACTCCTGGCCCCACTCTCGTGTCGCTCTGCACCGAGCATCTTCCCTRGGAAGCGGCGCGAAGCCACTGGGCCAGTCCCCGAGCAGGTCTTGCCAATGCAAGCGTAATGTGTGCCGGGCTGGGGGGAGGAGAGAGGCTCCCCCGCCCCCCTTAAAGCCTGACAGATCATTTAGCCAGAAATGAACACGCACCCTTGCAAAAGAGCTTCTTCCCCGTTTCCATCTGCCCCACCGAACCGGGATCTCCCTCAGCCTCACCCGGACCTCCCTCTGTCCCCGCCGCCCAGCCCGGCTCCCTTTCCCGGCCCCTTACCCCGGCTCGGAGCCYGAGATTGTCCCAGCATGAGTGACATTGGCTTTCCTAATGTAATGACTTATGAAAGATATAATCATGTGTTAAATTGAATCCTCCGCTTAACTGTTAATGGTGTGCTCTGGGCACATTTACGTATTAGATGCTATGGTAACTAATTACCACTAGAAGAAGGGATAATACACTTTCCAGACTTTGACAAATAATTATGAGTGTTCACATCCCTGCTAGCAGCAGTTGCAGCGGATCTGCTGGAATGAGTAAGTGAATAAATGAATGGGTAAGTGAACTCGTGTGCATGGAGGGGACTAGATAATGAATAGTGGTCAAGTGAGTTTTCTTATTAAAACCTTTAATGAAAATGTGATTTAGGGTGGAAGGGGGGAAAAGAGTGCGACGCTGTCTCTAAACGTAATTAAATCGCGTAATATAAACATCAGAAACATAAATAAGTTTGCTTTTAATTAAAACGCAGCAGTCAAAGTAAATTATCCACGTGCTCGGAAACT